TTAAACCACCGCTCCCCCCCATTGCCTAAAGTAGGGCCGACCGGTAGGGTAAAAACAAACCCCGGGGCTTGTACTACCGGTCGTGCACTTCGACGCCTACCGGTGAGCGAAATTGTGGCGCCGCTGCAACTGGAACGTGCTGTGGCAGGCGTCGGGATGCCTGTTCACAGTTCGTTGCGTTCGCGCCAGACGTTTTGTTTAGTTTGTAATTTTTTGTTTTTTTTGCTGTTTTTATTTCGTCCTTTTTCACTTCCTCGTTGTCAGGCGTAGGGATGCTTTTTTTCGGCCTTCTTCATTTTAGAAACCGAGGTCCCGCACCATGGGCCTCGCTGCACTACCCTGCAAACCCCGACATGCGCAAAAGTCGAAACTATTCGGGGTGTATCTTTCCATAATGTAGGGGAAGATTGACTCTCGTTTTGCACATTTCGAGAGTATTGCAGCGAGGCCCCATACCCTGCGTTGAAACCCGTCGTGAGTGGGCCTCGCTTCACTGCATTTTTTTTTTTAGTGTCTTTCCCGTTGGAGACCAAATGCCACAGTGGGCTTCGCTGCACTACTCTCGAAATGTGCAAAACGAGAGTGAATCTTCCGCTAGAATATGGAAAGATACACGGCCATGATTTTTGTCTTTTGTCCATTTAAAGAGTACTGCAGCGACGCCCAGTGACTGCTGCTGCTGGCCCGGCGGCGCACTCCCGCCGTGGAAACAATCGGCCTCGCTGCAGTACTCTCGAAATGTCCAAAACTAGAGTGAATCTTCCTCTACAATAGGGAAAGATACACCGCCAGGATTTTTGCCCGTTTTGCATGTAGAGAGTACTGCAGCGAGGCCCAATATCCAGCGGCCCGACGGTTTTTTTTTTTTTTTTCATCGACTGTCGCGTAAGTCGACCCCGCCAACTTCGCACCTGCCGTTTTCGACCCCCCCCCACTGTCACCAGAGTATCGAACCCCCCCCGTCTTTCACCTCAAGGGGTGTGTGCACAACGTCGGGAACCGTCCCAACCCGAAGAAAAAAGGTCGCCGCCGTACCACTTTTTGCGCCCCTAACTCCCCGGGAAGTCGACTTTAGGCAATGAGGGGGAGCGCTGGTTTAAGGAGGTGATAAGAGCAGCCTCCTGAAGCGGGTCCCCAGCTTCAAGGCTCCAGTCTATCATTGAGGAGCAGCACCTGCTGGAAATCGGGTCCAGCGTCCCGAAATGTCAATCACACAGTTTGTTCATCAGCAGCATTGATTACTACCATTGCCATACCTGAAGAGCATTTGTTCGGTGTGCCGTGCGGTGCAGCGGGCAACGCGTGATGCGCTCCTATCCAATGCACGTGCACTGTGCTGCATGCTGGGCGCGGTGCACTGCCCCTGATGCGCGCACACCTTAGTGTTTTTTTGTTGCTACCTATGTGTCGTTCGTCGTCTTGCTTTACACATTCTCACTTCTTTTCCTCCTCGCGAGCATACTCACCCTAGCACAATCTTAAATGTATCTGGCCGTAATTACGGCCTTTCCTGGATGTATCTCACCCCAATTCCGTCCAGAAATATGCAAAAGAGTCTTAGTATGAGTATGCCCTGAGCGTGGGTAGTGACGTCTACCTGTTTTGGCGAATCTAAACCTCACTCACTTTTCCCGATAATTGCAAAGAAAAACCAAAAAAAGACGAAAAAATATGAAAAAACATGACTATGTCAGACTGTTTCGTCCGACCTTCACCCACGAGCCTCGCTGCACCAGGCATCAAATCTGAGAAAGACAAAAATGTGCCGGGTGTATCTCTCCATGTTCTAGCTGGAGATACATCGTCTTGCACATCTTTTAAAGGCAAAAATGTGGCGCGTGCATCTCGCCGTGTTTCTAGCTGGAGACACATCGTTTTGCACATCTGTTGAGTTGGTGTCGCGAGGCCCTACAACATGCCAAACATAGAAACGACTTTTAGGGCCTCACTCCACTGCTCATCATTAGATATGTATCTGGTGCAATTTGAACATTTGAATGTATAAGAGATACTTTTAACCATGGTTACGATCCAGACATTCGGATCCCAGTCCAGACCGCCCGCATCTGGATGCCCGGGTGGATGCCGGGTCTGGTAGGTCCGGAAGAGGAAAAAAAAAAAAAAGGTTGCGCAAGGGAATCAAGGCCCATCCCCCCAAAAATGTTTTGGGATATTTTGAACTATTGTCTGGCCCTTCGAGAGACACACACACACACACACACACACACACACACACACACACACACACACACACACACACAGAGCAGGCTGGATACTGCCTTGTGGTAGGTATGGCCCAATTTACCACCTGTCTGTGGACCTTCTGTGACTCCTTTCTTTTTTGTTTTCCGAATTCTGGACATCCGGATTTTTCCAGACGTCCTGCTGTGCCTGGATCCAGGTCCGGCATAACCATGATTTTAAGTCAGATACATTTAGAAGGCTATGCAGTGGAACAAGGCCCTCAGCGTGTGTCGAAAGGAGAAAACCAAAAGGGGAAAAATGAAAGCTGTGCAGCGGACATTTGGTGCTTAAAAGTTAAAACTTTAATAATAAACTTAAAACTTAAATAGTAAAAGCGGAAAGAGATTTGGTGATTAGGAGGCGCCTTTCATGGTGCCTGCCCTTTTCGAGTCTCCCAACAGTAACCCCGATTAAAAAAGAGAGAATGAAGGGCGAAAGCGTTCAAGTTGAAAGGTGACCAGAAATAATGTTGTTGTCAAACTAAAAGGGTTTAAACTTTAAACTTTAAAGGAGTTCTCATTTATGCCAGTAAGATTAGATGGAATTGAAAAAAAGTCGGAGGTGCAAAGATGAACCCAAAATTATTACAGAGGAGTAAGAAGTTACTCAAACCTTAAGAAGTGAAAAGTCATAATTGCAAGCGTGGAGTGCGTGCGGTGCGCAGCACCTCCTGGTGCACGGCACTGGACCATACCGGGCTGCACCGCAAGATGCGACCGGAGCGCTATGGTCCGCAGTGCAGCGAGGGAGGAGGCGGCGGCGAGAAGGTGAGGAGGACGAGGAAGTGCCGAGGTGTGGTTGCCATTAACCGCCACATTGTAAGAAGAGAAGAGAGGAGACCAGGAGAAGGAGAGATAAGAGGTGACGAGGAGGAGGATGTGCCGAGGAGGAGGGGGTGGAGTTGACGAGAATGTGAAGGTGACGAGAAGGTGGAGATGATGAGAAGGTGGAGGTGACGAGGAGGTGGAGACAACAAGGAGGGACGAGGGAGGAGGTACGAGGAGGTGACGAGGAGGAGGAGGACGAGGCACCAGCAGATGAGCAGCTTCAGCAGCTTCGGTGGCGGTTCCAGCAGGCGGGCGCTCCATGATGTCTTCGGCAGCTCTGGCAGCTGTTCCTTCGCCAGCAAGGAGGAACCAGCAAGGTGACGAGAAACAGAGCGGTGCAAGGACGACCACCAACGAAGAGCGGCAACCGAAATTCAAGTTTTCATTGGGCCCACTTGAGCACACCCCTCTACAATTTGTTTTTGGCGCCCAACCGATTTTTCCGAGGGGCATGGGTTATGTCGAATACGGACCCGTGACCATTTTATTTCCCAGGGGGATGTGTTGCACCAGACGCTGTGCATGCCACACGCCACGGACCATTGCTGAAATACATACCTGTGGTTGTGTCAGAGCATCACGTTTATCATCAAAGGAACTGTTGTGGTGGTGAACATGCGGTTTCCGTGCCAAACGGGTTTTCCTTCCGCTCCCCCTCCCCTCCCCCCCCCTCTCTCCCCCGCGGTGCTCCGTCCCCCTTTGTTCAATTTCCTGAGTTTTTTTCTTTGAAAAAGGGCAAATGTTTAGCTGCAAGATTTGACATTGAAATGGGGTAAGGACATGATAAGGTGCTTGTAACAAGAAATATTTTTTTTTGTTCCGGATTGTATTAATGGTGGTCTTGGAATGTTGAGCTATTCTTTTAATACTCTAATTATATTTTCGCCCTCCCTCCCTCCCTCCCTCCTTCCTTGCTTCCTTCTCTTCCTCCCTCCCTGCTTCCTTCTCTCCTCTCAACCCTCATCTCCCCTTCCCTCCCTCCCTCCCTCCCTCCCTCAATCGCTCCCTCTGTAAACCCTGAACCTTAAACCCTAAACCCTAAAAATGAAACCGTGAACCCTGAACCCTAGACCCATAACTCTCGACCCTGGACTCTAAACCCTTAACTACTTCTTCTTTCTTGCATTCCTTGTTCCAAACACCCGCCTGTGACTTTTGCCGACCTTTCGTCGGGAGAACAAAGGCTCAACAAATCAAAAATTTGGACGTGTGTTTAATCTGGGTGATCCTGGATCTGATGTTTGAAATGTTGTAGGATGGAGATAGTAATCGCATGCCATGGCATTTTGATCTGTATTAGGTCCAGGCACGCCATATGCGAGGAAAGGATGGCTATGGTGCCCAGGTGCGGTATCTGACACAGGTGAGCACTTTACTGTACTGCTGACTTTTTTTTCCCTTTAAACCAACACTACCTCCGAGCCTGTGAACCGCGCGGGCCGATTTTTGCCGAGCCTGGCGACGAGCGTATTGCCACAGTGAAAAATATTTAGGGGTACCGGTACCTTTTTGTCCAATCGGCCGTTCGGCCTGTGCATTCGAAAACGATGAACAGCCTGTACATACGAGGAGCGGGCCCACAGGTTCCAAAAAGGCCCTGAAAAAGGGCCTGAATCCAATTGGTTTTCTTTTTTCGAAAGTCGGTGGCCGACCCTGCCCCGAGCCCCCGAGGAATGCGGTATAGGTTATACTCCCAACTTGGGCCTACAGCCTGAAAGGTAGTGGTGTTTTAAGTTTTGGACCATTTCTCGATTTATGCATGCTATGATGTCGTCCTTGCGCAGGGTCCATGCTGATCTTCTCTGTACGTTCCGATTTTAATGGACTACAGAACGATCCAAATTTTGAAAGTCAAAAGTCAAAAAAAATAAAAAAAATAAAAAATTCAAAAAAAGAAAAAAAGAAAAGAAAAGAAAAGAAGGAAAAAGGGAAAAAAAAAAGGTTGTCTGAAATTGCAACAAGAAAGAATACTAGAATAGCTTTCGACTAGAAGTCGATGTGGAATCCAAAAGAAACAATTCAACTGAAAAAAAGAAAGAGAATTCTGAATACAAAGAACAGTAATAAAATATACATCCATGACTCAGCGTAGCAATAACGAATATTCCTGCCATGCCTTGCTCTGCATGAGAACTAGGTGCTCTTGCGCTGGGATTGAATCCGGGAAGTCCCAATTCCTGTGTCCTTTTTTTTTGGGGGGGGGGTGTCTGCCGTAGCATTGCGCATAGCCCTTAACCGTTGGTTGGCCCTGTTCTGCACGCGCATCCGACTGCCTCGCCAACCCTGTCACCTTCAAGGCTTTTTTTTCCTTCATCGCAGTAGATTGCGTGGCGGCAAGGTCCCCCTTAACCCGAATTGTTAGCTTACGATCGTAACGTGGATCGCAGTGATCTACGGTCAAGAACAATTAAATTACCACAAGGGGCTGTTTGGCCGGGTGCATGGGCTGCTCTAATTTGGCCGGAAGGCCAGAAGGCCGGAAGGCCGGAAGGCCACCTGGCCGCCTGGCCGTCCAGATGCTCCAGGCGGGGTGCCAGGGTGGATTTTGGTCCTTTGGCGACGGGCCGGCCCTTTGTGGACCCAGTGGCCAGCCTTGTCCACTGCTCGCAGCTCCAAGCGCTTGCGACAGACAGAGTTTCTGAAAGAGCTGCGACAGAGTTCCCAAAAAAAAACAATCTCCCACTGTTGTTGTCCTTCGGGGAGGTTGTTTGTGAGGCGACGATGACGCCAGTGTGATTCCTAACACTACATTGCGAATGATTCTGATTTGAGTCCTGAGTCTGTTCGATTTTGTTGCCGGTCTCGCTTGAGTCGGGATGTTCGTTTGAGTCTGTTTTGAGCCTGTTTTGAGTCTGTTTTGAGGCTGTTTCGAGCCTGGTTTGAGTCTGTTTTGAGTGTGTTTTGAGTCTGTTTCGAGCCTGTTTTGAGTCTGTTTTGAGCCTGTTTTGAGTCTGTGGGTCTGTTTGAGAGTGTCTAGTTCTGTTCTGAGTCAGTTTCAAGCCTGTTTGAGCCTGTTTGGAGTCTGTGTGAGTCCATTTGAGCCTGTTTTGAGTCTGTGTGCGTCTGTTTGAGCCTGTTTTGAGTCTGTGTGAGTCTCGTTTTGAGTCTGTTTTAGTCTAACAGCCTAGTAACAGGTCCATTTGAGTTTGTCTGGTTCGGTTTTAAAAGTTAAAACGGTTTTGACTCTTGAGTGTGTTTGAGTCAGTTTTTAGTCTGTTCTGAGTTTGTTCGAGTCTGGTTTTGGGGGAAACCAGAAAGTGTTTTATAAATGAAAATCCGCCTGGATGCAGACAGAGCCAGGTGGACGCAGAGGTGGTCCCTGAGCGACCCAAGTTGCCTAGTAAATTACTGAATTGTGAATTTTCAATTTCATAAAATACTAAAAATTTAGTAAAAAATAGTACAGCAGTTCAAATTAGCAATTTGTGGTTCACATACCTTTCTCGGCCTCTTGGCTAAGATCAAGCGTAGTATCTGGTTTTTTTTTTTTTTTTTTTTTTTTTTTTTTTTTTTTTTTTTTTTTTTTTTTTTTTTTNGGGGGGGGGGGGGGGGGGGGGGGGGGGGGGGGGGGGGGGGGGGGGGGGGGGGGGGGGAAGCGGCTAATGCAAAGACCAAGCATATCTGTTCTGATCAGTTTAATATCTGGTGGCCCGTGGTGGGGGGGAAAGGTAATTTGTTGTTTTGTATTTGTTGCTCTTCCGCCCACATGCAAATCGGATCGTGCAGCTGAAAAGCAAGATGGCCGTCTTTCGTCGCATTCTTTTTGAGTGTTGGTGAGCTTCCAGAATTCCCCCTTACCCGAACTGTTTGCTTATTATCGTAACCTTGATCCGTGTAATAATCTATGGTCAAGACTCAAGAGCAAGTAAAGTACTAAATAGTAAATTACTAAATTTTATATTATTTATAAATTAGTAGTAAAGCCGTTTAAATTTTAAAATTAGTAATTTACTTATTTAAAGTTATTTTGTGGTTTGCGTTTGTTGCTCTTTTACCTCCGTGCGAACCGGATTGTGCAGGTGAAAGCACGGCCCCCGACATTCGTTGCATTCTTTTCAGGTGTTGGGGAGCTTCCAGATTCTGAGCTACGCTTCCTTGCATCTGCAATCAGGTAACCTTCTTTTCTTAAGGGTTTTTTTTTTTTTTTTTTTTTCCCAGGTAACCTTCGCTATAAAACAGTTTGTGTTTTTCTTTGTCCCAATAACATTTAATCAATTTTATTTTTTTAATGATTTAAATGATTTAATGATAATAATGGTTCTTTGGGGGATAATTTGCAAAATACCCCTATAAGTTGAGATATATGCCAAAATGCCCCTAAAAGATGTGGGTAGAGCGGAATACCTCTCCGACACAAAAAGATATGTTTTGCGAAATGCCCCTGGTGTCTGTTGGACCTGCCATCTTTGCAAAATACCCCTACCGGGTACTGCCCGTCTTTGCAAAATGTCCCAGTACTTACCAACTTTTCCCAGGCCCTATGTATTTTCGTCTTACCCCTAGTGGCCCAGGTCATCTTTGCGTTTTGCCCCTTCGCTCTGAGAGAGAGAGAGAGAGAGAGAGAGAGAGAGAGAGAGAGAGGCGAGCATGAGGATTTCAGAGATGGCGACCACTTAATCCTGACTCCCTTTGTCCATCCATGTTGCACTAGATCTTTGTCTCTTTTGCCAAATTTATTGAATGGTTCCCTGCGATTGCATTTGTATCCTCTGGCGACCGCTTAATCCTGAGTCCTTGGGCGAGGTCCCATTGGCAAAGAGGATTGGATTGAATGCATGAATTTGGATGCGTTTGTGGAGAGATGCAGAATATCGTGATAGACCTGCATTTCTGCATCTCTGCAGAAACCATGTCCAGATTCAGGCAATTAATCCAATCCTCTTTGCTAGTGTGACTTGGACCCTGGCCTTCATGGGAACAAATGGGGGGG